TTTGTGTTTGGGTGGAATGTTCTGCAGATGTCTATTATGTCCATTTGAGTCATTACATCTGTTAGTTCCCTTATTTCTATGTTAAGTTTCTGTCTGACAGACCTGTCCATTGGTGAGAGTGGGGTATTGAAGTTTCCCACTATTAGTCTATGGAGTTTGATGTGCAATTTAAGCTTGAGTAATGTTTCTTTTACGTATGTGTGTGACCTTGTATTTGGAACATAAAAGTTCAGAATTGAGAGTTCATCTTGATTGATTTTTCCTGTGATGAATATGTAATGTCCTTCTCTCTTTTTATTGATTTTAGTTTGAAGTCTATTTTGTTAGATATTAGGATAGCTACATCAGCTTGCTTCTTAAGTCCATTTGATTGGAAAATCTCTTCCCAACCCTTTATTCTGAGGTAGTTTCTGTCTTTGAAGTTTAGGTATGTTTCCTGCATGCAGCAGAAGGATGGGTCCTATTTTTGTATTCATTCTGTTAGCCTGTGTCTTTTTGTAGGCAAATTGAGTCCATTGATATTAAGGGATATTAATGACCATTGATTGTTAATTTCTGTTATTTTTTGGTGGTCGTGTGTGTGTGTGTGTGTGTGTGTGTGTGTGTGTGTGTGTGTTTCTCTTCTTTGGGATTTGCTGGTGTGGAATTATCTATTGGCTGTGTTTTTCTGGGTGCATCTAACTTCCTTAGTTTGGAGGTTTCCATTTAGTGCTTTCTGTAGGGCTAGATTTGTGGATAGGTTTTGTCATGAAATATCTTGTTTACTTCTTCTATGGTGACTGAAAGTTTTGCTGGGTGTAGTAGTCTGGGCTGGCATCCATCCTCTTTTAGTGTCTGCATAACATCTCTCCAGGACCTTCTGGCTTTCAGAGTCTCCATTGAGAAGTCCGGTGTTATGCTGATGGCTGCCTATATATGTTACTTGGCCTTTTTTTTCTTTGCAGCTCTTGATATTCTTTCTTTATTCTGTATGTTTAGTGGTTTGAATATTATGAGGCAAGGGGACTTTTTGGGGGGTCCAGTCTATTTTTTATTCTGTAAGCTTCTTGTGTCTTTATAAGCATTTCCTTTATTAGGTTAAGAATGTTTTCTTCTTTGCTTTTGTTCAATATATTTTCTGTGCCTTTGAGCTGATATTCTTCTCCTTGTCCTATCTCTAATATTCTTTGATTTGGTCTTTTCATGGCGTGCCAGATTTCCTGGACTTTTTGTGTTATGGCTTTGTTGGCTGTAATATTTTCTCTGACTGACCAATTTATTTCCTGGATTATATCTTCAACACCAGTCATTCTCTCTTCTATCTCTTGCATCCTATTGGATATGCTTGCATCTGTAGTTCCTATTCATTTACTCAGTTTTTTCATTTACAGCATTCCCTCAGTTTGTCTTTATTGCCTCTACTTCAATTTTCAAGTCTTGAACTGTCTCATTCACCTGTTTGATTGCTTTTTCTTGGTTTTCTTTAAGGGATTTATTGATGTTTTTCCAATTTTTTGTTTGTATTTTTCTTGATCTCTTTAATGGAATTTTTCATTTTCTCTTTAAATGCCTCTATCATCTTCTTAAAGTTTATTGTAAGGTCCTTAACAACTTCTGCTTCTTTTACATTGGGATGTTCAGGTTTTGCTGTTGTATAACCACTAGTTTCTGGTGGTGCCATATTGCTCTTTATGTTGTTGAGTGTATTCTTTTTTTTTTTGTTGTTGTTTGTTTTGGTTTTTCAAGACAGGGTTTCTCTGTGTAGCTTTGCGCCTTTCCTGGGACTCACTTGGTAGCCCAGGCTGGCCTCGAACTCACAGAGTGCTTCTGCCTCCCGAGTGCTGGGATTAAAGGCGTGCGCCACAACTGCCCGGCTGAGTGTATTCTTGCACTGGCATCTTCCTGTCTCTTCCTCCAATCCATGCAGGTGGTGTTTGTGTCTCAGGAAGCTGTTCTTGTTCCAATCTCTTAGGACAATCAGAGCTGGCAGAGTCTGTGTCTCAGGGAGCCACTGGGGTCACAGGAGATGGCAATCAAGTGTTTTTATGGAAGAATGGAGTTTCCTCTGTGTATATGCACAAGAGTGGTATAGCTGGGTCTTGAGGCAGATTGATCCCCAGTTTTCTGAGGAACTGCTATATTGATTTCAATAGAGGCTGTGCAAGTTTGTACTCTCACCATCAATGGGAGGAGTGTTCTCCTTGCTCCACATCCTTGCCAGCATGAGTTGTCACTTGTGTTATTGAACTTAGCCATTCTGACAGGTGTCTGATGAATATTTATCAGCCTTTTCTGATTCCTCTATTACGGATCATGTTAAGGCCTGTACCCATTTTTTCATTGGATTATTTGGTTTATTGATATCTATTTTTTTGTACCTATCTCTCAATTAGTTTCAGTTTGAAGTCTGTCAGATATTAAAATGGCTACACCAGTTTGCTTCCTAGGTCCATGTGATGATTTAAAAGAACATTGACCTGATAGGGAGTAGCACTTTTATGAGCTTTGGCTTTGTTGGAGTAGGTATGGCCTTGTTGGAGGAAGTGTGTCACAGTTGGGTTGGGATTTGAGGTCTCCTATGTTCAAGCTATGACTAGTGTGGCACACAGTTGTTTCTGCTACATGTGAATCAAGATGTATAACTCTCAGCTCCTTCTCCAGCACTATGTCTGCCTGCATGCCACCATGTTTCCTGCCATGACATCAATGGATTATACCTCGGAAACTGTAAGCCAGAACCAATTAGATATTTTCCTTTATAAGAGGTGCCATGTTCATGGTGTCTCTTCACAGCAATAGGAACCCTAACTATGTCCATTTGCTTAGAATTATTTTTTACAACCTTTTATCCTGAAGTAATGTCTATTTTTGATGTTGCAGTGTTTCTTGTATGCAGCAGAATGGATCCCGATTTTGTATTCATTCCTTTAGACTCTGTCTTTTTATTGGGGAATTGAGTGTATTGATATTAAAAGCTACCAATGACCAATGATTATGTGATTTTTTTCTTTTGTTGTGGTTGATGGTGGTGGTTGTTGTATGTGTGGTTCCCCTCTTTTGGTTTTGCTGGTGTGAAATTTTTTTCTGTGTTTTCATGGATGTAGTTAACCTCCTTGGGTTGGTGTTTTCCTTCTAGTACCTTTTGTAAACCTAGATTTATGGATAGAATGGTTTAAATCAGGTTCTGTCATAGAAAATTTTGTTTTCCCCATCTATGGTGATTCAAAGTTTTGTTGGGTATAGTAGTCTGGGCTGGCATCTGTGGTTTCTTAGTCTATAATACATCTCTTCAGACCCTTCTGGTTTATAGAGTCCCATTGAGAAATCAGGTGTGTTACTTGGTCTTTTTCTTTTGCAGCTTTTAATATTCCTTCTTTGTTCTGTTCATTTAGTGTTTTCATTATTATGTGGTATAGGGACTTCTTTTCTGGTCAAATCTATTTGGTGTTCTTTAAGATTTTGTGCATGTACCTCTTAAGGTTAGCAAAATTTTCTATGTTTTTTTCCTTTTATTTTATTTTACAATACCATTCAGTTCTACATAACAGCCACAGATTCCCTTGTTCTCCCCCTTCCTGTCCCCCTCCCCTTCCCCCCCAGCCCATCTCCCATTCCCACCTCCTCCAGGGCAAAGGTTAAAAACATTTTCTGGGTCATTGAGCAGGATTCCTTTCCTTCTTCTATTCTTATTATTCTTAGTTTTGGTCTTTCCATACTATCCCAGATTTCCTGGATGTTTTTTTGTTAGGAATATTTTAGATTTAGCATTTTCTTTGACCAATATACCAGTTTCTTCTATCTTATCTTCTACACTTGAGAGAACTCTTCCATCTCTTGTATTCTGTTGGTGATGTTCTGTAGTTCCTGTTTGCTTACCTAGATTTTCCAGTTCCAGAATCCCCCCCCCCCCGTTTTTATTTTCTTTATTGCTTCTATTCCCATTTTCAGGCCTTGAACAGTTTTCTTCACCTGTTTGTGTTTCTCCTCCTCCCCCTTAACCTTCTTGGCATTCCTTAAAGGATTTATTCATCTCCATTGTTTGTGTTTTCCTGGATTTCTTTGAGAACTTATTTTTTCCTCAAGGATTTCTATCATCTTCAAAGAGTTAGTTTTATGTTTATTTTCCTATGCTTTAGCTGAGTTGAAATATTCAAGGCGTGCTACAGTAGGATAACTGGGTTCTGATTATGACATATTATCCTGGGTCTTGTTATGTTTTTACACTGGCATCTAGGCATCTGGGTTTGAGGCAATTATGTTTAGGTGATTTGAGTTTGTCTTTGTTGGATGAATGCTTTTTTCTCGTTTTCCGTTTCCCCTCTGGTCTTTTGGTCAGAGTTGCCTATTGTTCTGGTGACTGTCAAGTCTTCTCACCCAGTAGGGTGCCTTCATTTTTTTTTTTTTTTTTTTTTTTGCTTGTATGTGACCTCTGAACTTCTGGGTTTCTGGGTTCTGGCATGGCCTCTGGAATTCCGGGATTCTAGGAACTCTTTTGGGCTCTGATATAGCAGGGTCTTTTGGAGTTGTGGGCTTAGATATAGCCATAAAGGGAGGGGAGCTGCTGGAGAAAAACTTGGTCAGCTCTGAGGAAGTGTTGGTGTGCAGTTTAGGTCTTACCTGGAGTTCTGGGAACCAGTATGGCCTCTGGTAGATCAGGAGGTTTCTGTTGGTGTTGTGGGCTGGGAAATGGTGAGGAGGGAAGGGAGACTGCTGGGGAAAAGCTGGATGGTCTCTGAGGAGTGTTGGCTGTCTATGGGCAGGGTCTTACTTGGGGTTCTGGGTACCCGTGTGGCTCCGGTAGAGCAGGGGACTTCTGCTGGAGTTTTGCGCCTAGGGTTTGGAATACTAGCATGGCCTCTCCTGTGTGGCCTCTGGTACAACAGCGAGTTCCAATGGAGTTGTCAATTGGAATATGGTATCAAGGAGGGGGAACAGATGTTGGGGAAAGATGAGTAGACTCTGAGGAAGTGATGATCTACAGGTGGGGCCTTACCTGGGGTTCTGGGAACCAGTCTGGTCTCTGAGAGAACAGGGCCACACATTATATATTTAATCAGGCTGTAATTACACATAACATTATGTAACTGTCCCTTGTACAAGTACAATCACATTAAAAATTTAGAATAGATGGCAATGTCCCTTGCAGGACGTTCTTTTAGTATCTTGAATTTAAATATGATAACCATTGATATTCTCTTAATAGATGTTACAGCACAAATATTGGTACAAAAACCATTCTTAACAAAATACAACAGAAACACTTCTGTAAACTACATTCCTCATTTAGGTTTTACACACATACCCACTCTAGCATTGCAATTTCCCTGAGCCTTAAAATCCCTTCATCAACACTAAGTCAAGGTATATTAGGGATCTCCAACTCCTCTTCAGTAGGCCATCTTTTGATATATGCTTCAGCCAACCATCCAAATTTTGACACCTTTTAAACTGAATGATCTTTCATATTAAACCCTGAATCTCCACTCAATGGGTCCATATCAATGAACTCTGCCATCATTATGTATCATCAGTATTATGCTCTTTCCACCATCATCCCACACCCTTAAAATCCACTCCCACACATATTCATTATTCTTCTGCTTGAATGAATTAGCAAAATCATTAAGCTCTTTAGTAGCTTAGTGTACCTCCTTATGGACTGCACTTTCTTCCTCCCCTTTAAGAGCCTGCTCTGCCTTAAGTCTGGTTATAGATCCAGAGGCAACTATTAGTGGACCCTGAGGGACATTAGTATTATCTTGCATGGCATTTCCTCCAGAGAAAGTCACCACACTGCTGTTTTAGCAGACAATAGGGATTAACTCCTCAGCCAAATGTAAAAAAGGCAGTATTTCAAGAGGTGGGGCTGAGGGTACTATTTCCTCAGGTGCAATAAACCCTTGAGAATCTGAAAATTCCAAGTTCTCAGATTCATTGGGGTCCTCCGACAAAGCCCCGCCCCAAGTTATATGATCCCATTCTTTACCAATTAATGCCATTACTTTAATTTTCAAAAGTCTCTGAGCCTGGGGCTTGAATTTTTGCTGTAATTCAACTAGCCATATAATGAGGACTTCATTTTGATTTTCTGCAAATCAAGCTCTGTGGCTGCTGGAGGGAAGATTCTCTTTCAGGGCAAACTTAGAAATCTTTAGACTCTTTTTTTTTTTTTTTTTTTTTTTTTTTTGGTTTTTCGAGACAGGGTTTCTCTGCGTAGCTTAGCTTTGCGCCTTTCCTGGAACTCACTTGGTAGCCCAGGCTGGCCTCGAACTCACAGAGATTCGCCTGCCTCTGCCTCCCAAGTGCTGGGATTAAAGGCGTGCGCCACCACCGCCCGGCTAGAAATCTTTAGACTCTTAAGATGCATCTGTAGCTGATGATTTTTATCACTAAGTTCTTTGTTGTTCCTCACAGTATTCTGAGATACTAGAAGTTGGTTGATTTTATCACAGAGCTCATTCCTATCATTTATCAATTTATCCAGAATTGCTAAGACCAGCAAATCACTTTCCTTAGTTTGTGTAAATTGTCAAAAGTTTCATATACGGGGTCACCAAATACATTGCCAGTAACAACTGATAAATAAGATAATCAAATGTATTTATCTCCTAAATTTGGGAATATAGTTCACACCATGGGCTTTCATTACTCTCCAAGTTCCCAGGAGAGGGAATGACAAGAGACGCTTCAGTAGCTGTAGGTGTTAGTGAATTGAAAAGCCTATTCTAAATACTTAAAGGATTCATCCTTATTCTGATGTTCTAGAGCCACTTCTCATACCAAAATCTGTATATTTAGGGTTCTCTAGAGTAACAGAACTTATAGAATCTCTCTCTCTCTACACACACACACACACACACACACACACACACACACACACACACACACACACACAGGATTTATGGGAATGACTTCGAGGCTGCTGTCCAGCTAACCCAACAATGGCTGACTGTTAACAGAAAATCCAAAAATCCAGTAGTTGCTCAGTCTACAGGGCTGGGTGTCTAGGCTGGTCTTCAAAATATGCTGGAATCCCAAAGAAGTTGGCTCCAATGCCAGTAAAGGAATGCATGTACTAGCAAGGTGAAGGTAAGCAGGCAATAAACAAAAACTTCCTTCTTCCATGTCCTTATTTAGGCTTCCAGCAGAAGGTTGAACCCAGATTAAAGGTGAATCTTCCAACCTCAACATCCAGATCAAAGGCATTTATTTGTCTTCCTACCTAAAGGTGTGTCTTCCTACCTCAGAGGTCCAGAAAAATGTGGATTCACCAACTTCAAACCAAGCAAAATAATATCTCACAGGTGTGCCTCCCACTTATGAATTGTAGTTCATTTCAGACATAGTCAAGTTGACAATCAAAAATAGCCATCACACCTAGCAATGTCAGAAGTTACATCTATAAAATCTTAACAACCTAAAAGTGCACTGAGCAAGGACAAACACACTGGAGATGTCAAAGTGGAGAGGGAAAAGCCAACAGCCCTTAATCCTACAAAGAACTGGGAAATGGTGGTAGCAGGAGAAAGTCTCCCTTGGGGAAGAGCACACTGATTCAATACCAAATGGTCAGCCTTACAAAAATACAGAAAAGTAACATTATATGAGTAGTTCACTTAGGAATATATATTCATATATAGAGACATATATGAATACAATAAAAATTAATGAAAAAGAAGCCACAAATTTGAAAGGAGAGGATTTGGTGGGAGGAAAGTGAGGGGAAGGTTCTAATTACATAATAAATTAAAAATGTTTAAAAAAAGCAAAACTAAAATAAAGGAACAAACAATATCAACAAATCCAAACTAAGACCAAAACAAAGAAAAATTATATACCTATCCAGGAAATGGTTTTAGCTTCCATGCTACAATAGCAATGATCATAAATAGAAATGAGAACTAATGTTGGCAAAAATGTGGAGAAGGAAGTCAAACACTATTCAGTCTAGATGTCCCACACAATAAATGAATGAATGAAAATAAGAAAATTACTGTGAGCCCATTACAGCACTTATGTGTGACACTATTCCTGTGTCAATGACAAAGAATTTCTGGAAACAATGACAAGCATCTACTAAAGGCAGAAAAGGAGCCAAAGAAAGCCAAAGTTGGGAAATCAATAAAGTCTAATTTGGTGAACCAATGAGTGTTTTGTCTGAACGTATATCTCTGTACCTTGTGTGTTCCTAGTGCCAGTAGAGGCCAGAAGAGAGTACTGGATGCCCTGGAGTTGAGGTTACAGATGGAGTGCACATGTGAGGGTCCTGGAATTCAAAGTGAGTCTTGTGAATGAGCAGACAGTGCTCTTAAACACTGAATCATCTCAAAAGCTAAGTGGACCAGTGAATTTTATTGGGGTGACAAGTCTGGGTAAGGGGTTACTTATAGAAGCACAAAGGAATGACAGCTGCATCACCCTGTGAGGGTGATGGCTAATGGAGGTGAAAACCTGGGGATCTCTGCACAGCTTGTAGGCAGCTCAAGGGAGGTTGGAAGTGTGTATTTCAAGCCACTCACTACCTCCTCCAGGCAGCTTGTGTTGTCTTGTCTGGTCCAGGCAGGTTGAGGTGTCTGCTTCATGGCTGGTCTGAGCATCTTCTGTGCAGCTCACTTTGTCTGACAATGTCAGCAGTCCTTACCAATTTTATATACTTGAGGGCTTGAGGCAGGAAGGCATGAGTGGATTTTGCCAGTTTCTGTGAGTTCCTGAAGGTATTGAGTCCTTTATTTCTGAGCTTAAGGAGCTTATCTGTAGGACTGAATGTATCACCTCCAGTTATAGCATCCCATTAGTTTATCTCTTTCAAATCCTTGCATTTTAAAGAGCTTTCTCCAAGATGGAGGGGTTTCATCTCAGAGAAAATTGGTACACAGTAACTACTCCTGCTTATAAACTCCAAGAACTTGGCATCTTATCACTAAGATGATATCATTTGCTCAACATACTCATTGCTGCTTTTTTTTTTTCCTCATACTAATGGAATCAACTCAGCTATCCATCAACTGATACATGGATAACTGAATTGCCATACATATCTACAAAGCTGTGTTAGTTGCAAATAAAAATGAAAGTGTGAAATCTGGATGTAAATGTAGGCAATGGCAAATAGAATGAGTGATGCCAACTAGATCTCAAATGTTAAACATCACATGTTTTCTCCCATGTTAGTCCTAGTTTCAACATTAAGTTTCCTTTGTTCAGTAAGAGTACACATAGAAGCCAGAAAGCTAGAGATGAACCATTAGAAGGAGATGGAAGAAGAGAGGATAGGTAATTGAACATAGGTGAAATAAAATTGGAAGGCAGAATATTGGGGGCAGAATGGTTCAAATATGTACTGTAGTGGTGGTGAAGAGGGTGCTGCTGAAATGTCAACTGAAACGGGATGTCCATGAAGAAGCTACATGGGAACCTATTATTTTGCAATCCAAGTAAAAAATACAATAAGATGATAGTAGAACACGTACTATAAAAGAGGGGAGTATTGGATAATATTTGCTAGATGTTTAACTGTAAACATAAGATAAGGCAGGAAGGAAGAAGAAGAGTGGGTGGGCTAACCAAAAGTAAAGATGTATGAAGAAGCCTCATGAAATCCCACTGTCTTACAAGTTAATAGGAAATATAATTTTTAAAACTTTGAACAGAGGTTCCCACATGGGTGAATAATGCTGCTCCCAGTCACTAGGGCTATTAAATGGAACTATCTGTACCAAGTATTGGTTATCTGCCTAGGACTTACTGGTCAGGGAGGCCCTAAAGGCACCCCAAACAAAACAGGTCATTGTCAATGCTTTGTTGGTCACCATAAGTACATGGTGTTGCTGAAGACACCAAACTCTTTGGTTGTAACACACAGAGAAATCTTGAATTTACCAGGAAATTCTCCCTCCTGGCTAGCTTTTGCAGGACTGTAAAGAAAAGATGTCAATGGTCTTATCTACTCCTGCATCCTATATCAAGCCAGGATGTGTGCACTGGCATAATACTGGTACAACTGCTTATGGGCATAAACACCTGTCTTGGATTTTATGATTGCTTCATAGAGGGGAATTTATGCCTTGTACTATAAAAACAATCAAAAAATCATGGCTTGGGGAGTAAAGACCAAGTGCAGAACCTATTGATGTTTTCTTAATGATCATGTTGTTAATCTGTCATCTAAATATTCATGTTTATAATTATCAATTTGTACTATTCTCAACCTTAGTGAAAGAAGCCTCTTGCAGTTGATAGTAGGTAATGCAGACTCGTAATATTTAAAAAAAAAAAATTGACTGCCAGGCAGTGGTGGTGCACACCTTTAATCCCAGCACTGGGGAGGTAGAGCCAGACAAATCTCTGTGAGTTCGAGGCCAGTCTGGTCTACAGGGTGAGATCCATGACAGGCACCAAAAACTACACAGAGAAACCCTGTCTTGAAAAACCAAAAATAAACAAACAAACAAATAAATAAATAGAATTTGAGAACAAACAACTGTGTTAGCTTGGTACAATTATGATTTCATCATGGTTGAGGGAGGGTCCCACACATCTCCTTTCACGCCATGAAGGTCTACTGGCAGTTAAGGGCAGCAACATGATTTTAGAGTTTTGAGTGAATACTTCCCCATTCCTCCTCAGTACTTCAAAATTAGTTTCTGTATGCTCTTGGAGATTTCTTTTTTGTTGTTTTTGAGACAAAGTTTCTCTATGTAGACCAGGCTGGCCTTGAACTCAGAGTTCAGCCTGCCTTTGCCTTCACAGAGCTGTGATTAAAGACATATAAGACCACACCCTTTGCCTTTGGAGTTTTTTTAAGCTGTATGTGAGCATGCTCATGTAATCACAGTCACAGCCAATCTCTTTATAGTTTCTCACCTTCCTGCTGTTTTTAAGGTTTGATTCTTGTATTAAGATTTTGAAGGTGAACGAAAGATGAGACTTTATTAGAGCATATTCTTGTTTCTTTCATAATGAATTCTTTTTATGTCTACAATTTCAGAACTAGGTAAAGGATTTATTAAATTGAATGCATTTCAAGGGTGGAATTTACAATGAACGGCAACACATAGGGATTATATACAGTATAATTTCATATTGTTTCTCAGAACTATGAATTTTGTGATGTACAGCAAAATTAGAGGGCTCTGTCACATTTCTCATCTTACTACATTTTGTCTTCATTATATTTATGTAGTCCTGGCTGTCCTGGAACTCACTATGTAGACCAGGATGGCCTCTGACACAGAGATCTTCCTGCCTCTGCATTCTAAGTGCTGGGATTAAAGATGTGCACCACTTGGCCTGACATTATTATGCTTTTTTTGCACACTGAACAAGATAAATGCTCTTATTACAGCACTTTCCACAGGCTGAAGATATGACTTAGTGGTTAAAAGCACTGGATACTATTCCAGAGGACCTGTGTTCAATTCCCAACACACGCACCGCTCACAACTTTCTGTTAATCCAGCTTCAGGGGACCTAATGACCTCTTCTGGTCTTGACAGGCACCAGGCATGAAATACTTGCATACATACAGAAGTACCTGGAGGCAAAGCAACCATATACATTAAGAAAAAAACTTTTCCCATTACTTTTGTAGAATTTTAATATAAACCCTGTGATAGTTTTCTAAGATTTAGACCTTCGTTAAAGGCATTCACAAGTTCTTATCTTCATATTTCTATTATGTATACTGTTGGGATTTGTAAGCAGAGATTTGCAGATAAATGCTACGTCACATTATTTACAATGGTATTTTTCTCTCTAGTATGACTTTTTTGATATCTTCTAAGATTGGCAATATGGATATAGAATGTGTCACTGTCTTTGCATTTGTAAGGTTTCTTTCCAGTATGAATTTTCTGATCTGCTCTAAGATATTTGCACCTAGTAAAAGATTTGTCATATTCCTTACAACTGTAAGGTCTCTCTCCAATATGAACTCTCTGATGTGTTATGTGAGTCCTGGGTAAAAGATTTGTCACATACCTCACATTTCTAAGGTTTCTCTCCAATATAGATCCTATAATGCCTTTTAAGATGTGATATTTCAGGAAAGGACTTACCATAATTTTTGCATACAATATCTCTAAAGAATGAGTTTTATGATGCCTTCTAAATGGTTAATAGTGGGTAAAGGAACTGTGTCACAGTCATTGCATTCGTAAGGCTCCTCTCCAGTATGGAGTCTGTAATGGCTTTTAAGATGTGAAAGCTGATGAAAGACCTTGCCACATGCTTCATAACTACAACGTTCTTCAGCAGTATGGATTTTCTGATGTCTCCTGAAACTAGAATAGTGGGCAAAGGATCTATTACACTCCTTACATTTGTAAGGCTTCTCTCCTGTATGCAATTTTTCATGGCTTTTAAGTGCTGAGGACTGACGAAATGACTTTCCACAATCTTTGCATTTATAAGGTTTCTCTCCAGTATGAAGTCTTTGATGTGTTTTAAGACTTGAGCACTGGGAAAAGGATCTGTCACATTCCTTACATTTGTAAGGCTTCTCCCCTGTATGCATTTTCTGATGATTTTTAAATGCTGACAAATGACGAAATGACTTTCCACATTCTCTGCATTCATAAGGTCTCTCTCCAGTATGAAGTCTTTGATGTGTTTTAAGATTTGTGCACTGGGTAAAGGATTTGTCACAAATGTTACACTTGTAGGGTTTCTTTCCAGTATGTATTCTCTGGTGTACACTGAGGCTTGTGGCATTACTGAAGTATTTCCCACATTCCTCACACTGGTATGGTTTCTCTCCAATATAGATTGTTTGTTGCACAAGACTGTATGTAGAGTCAAAATAGTCATCACATTCTTCCTGCTCTTTCTTTGCAGTGTAGAGTCTCTGATCTTGAGTCATGCTGGAACACAAATTTAAAGATTTCTCATGGTCTTTAGATTTGCAAGGCTCTTCTCCAGTTTGCATGCTTTCATGTCTATCTGGGTTTAATGAATCCATAGAGGCATCCCTGTGATTATTGCATTTGTAGTTATTAGAATTTTCTGTAGTTTCACTTGTTCTATAAAGTGCACATGTGGAGGGGTCATGAAGCACTTTGCCAAGCTCATTACACTGACAAGATTCCTTTTCATTATTCACATGTTGATGGGCAGGATCACATATGCAATCGTTCTCTGGAAAATGAGTACAGTTCAGATTAATAGGGCTTGTTCCAGATTAAACATTTGATAAGTGACTGCGACTGTCTTCCTATGTTTTCCCTTAAGATATGTCAACCAGCAACTATTTCACACAGAGCTCTTGGTTTCGGCATTTTCCTTTCACTATAACTGTATGGATTTTCCAAAAACAGAGTGACAGGCTTCAAGGAAGAAGAAACAAATAACTGAGGAGTCAGTAATTAGCTTTGGGATGGAGGTCACTGACTGATTATATTTAGAATACGTTTCAATTTTTAAAAATTTTTCTCTGTGAAATTGGTAAAGCAGATTTTAATCCAATCCCAGGTTCACAGTGTTTGTACTTACTAATGTACAGCAAGGAAGAGTACAGTTCAGAAGTCCCAGTTCCTTTGAAGATAAAAGGCTTACTTAAGAGCATCAAAGGAGAGCCAAGCAGTGGTGGCACATGCATTTAATCCCAGCACTTGGGAAGCAGAGGCAGGTGGATCTCTGTGAGTTTGAGGCCAGCCTGGTCTATAGAGGAAGTTCCAGGACAGCCAAGGATACAAAGCAAAACCTTGAAAAACAAGACAAAAAAACAAAAACAAAAACATTTTAAAAAAGCATCAAAGTGTTTATTTTTTTTCAAAAAAACAAAAAACCAAAACCAAAACAAAACAAAAAACATATTAGATTCTTTAAAAGTAAGAGAAGCAAAGCAAGAATTTTGCCAGATATGAAAGGCTCTAGATATAGAGCCCAGAGTTTAGAATATTTGAGGCAGGGCTGTCATGGGCAGCTATTGCTTATTTCTATCCTCCACTGTCTGAGCTCCACACACTGCTGTGTTTCTTAACTTTCCTCATAGGGTTATTCTCAAGTCCACTCTGTACACAGACTCTATGGATTATTTTACAGAAGGGTATGTGTGTGTATTCTCCACTGGGAAGAAAATGAAGGATGTAATATGGAGACACACATGCATGGAAGACAGTTAAAGAATAAGCCTATTTCATGGACTCACATTAGACTTCAAATTTGTAAGATTATTCCAATATGATGTGAGCATAGTCAAATAAAATTTCATTTTGTACTAGTATTCAGTCACCATAATTCAGGTGTAATAAGACATGTTTTCTAACAGCTACAATAGGCATGAATGTATCCTCGGGTCAGGACAGTATACTAAGGTAAATGATCCAGAATCCTTTCAGATGAAACTGAACACAGCAAAAACATTTCCAGCTCTTGCTTTGTCTTTCACTTGAAGTCTTCACTGCCATCCCACTCTTTCACTAGCCTGCCCTGGTTATGGCTACTTTCTAGTTTCTACATCCCAGGGCAATCTCATTTGCTCCAGACAGGTGACCAGGCCTACCTTGCATACAATAATCCACATGTTCTGTGAGGTAGCCTATGAACCATGGCAGAGTTTTTAGAAAGAATACAGATGTTTAGCACAGTACTCTGCTCAGTACATGAAGAAAACACAAAGTAGTAGAATATAGGAATAATTTCCCAATTGCTATTTCCTGTCAGATTCACAGCATATTTAGGAAGAATTTTAAGTTAAATTTTTAATTAACTAATTTTAATTTTGAGTTTTTCTCACAATGTGAAATGCAGCAATGGACATGGAGCTTTAAGATAATGGGTGGAACCAGACACAAAACCTGTGACCTAGTAGAATCTGTCTGGCTTCCAAAATAAGCTAGGGCAATGGTGGAACAGAAATTATGGGAGTAGCCAACAAATGTCTGATTTTACTTAAGGCTCAATCCACAAGATGGAACCCATAGCTCACACTGCTTGGTAACCAAAGACCAGTGACTAGATAGCCCAGGGACCTAGGATAAATCAACAACTACTAGAGTAAAGAGGGAAAAAAGGGGGGAAAGTATCAATAAAATGACTCCTAATGATATTCTGCTATATTCATAGATCAGTGTCTTATTCAGTCCCCATCAGAGAAGCTTCCCCCAGGAGGAGATAAAACAGATACAGAGACCCACAGCCAGACAGTATGTGGAGAGAGTCTACATGTGATGTCTCCATCAAACCCCTCCCCTTAGAGCTCAGGGAACCATGCAGAAGAGGAGGCGAAAATAGTGTAAGATCCTGAGGAGATAGAGAACAACAGAAGAACAAGGCCCTCTGAACCAACTAGCGAAGTGTAAGAGAATTCACAGAGACTGAAGCAGCAGGCACAGGGCCTACATGGGTCTCCACCAGGTCCTTTGCATATGTATTATAGCTTTAAGCTTAGTATGAAAATAAGCTGAGTGTGAAAATAAATGGGTCTCTGATGCTTGTATCTGCCTTAGGACTCTTGTTGGGTTACCTTATCCAATTTCAATATGATGTTTTTTGCTTTATTGTATTTTATTTTGTCATGCTTGGTTGTTTTGTTATCTCTTAGAAGCCTGCTTCTTCTTCTTCTTCTTCTTTTTTTTTTTTTTTGAGACAGGGTTTCTCTGAGTCACAGTCGTGTATCTCCTAGAACTGGATTTGTAGACCAGGCCAGCCTTGAACTCACAGAGATCTGCCTATTTCTGCCACCCGAGTGCTGGGACTAAAGCTGTGTGTCACCACACCCCACTCCAAGTCTGTTCTTTTCTAATGAAAGAAAGAAAGTGGATATGGAGGGGAGAATAAATGTGGAGGAATTGGAAGTAGTACTGGGAGGGGAAAGTGTAATCAGGATATCTTGTATGAGAAAAAAATCTATTTCAATGAAAGGGAAAAAAATGAAAAAAAAAAGATATGAGTGGAAATGTTATATGATACAGAATTTCTGAATGCACCTTGGAACCAAAGTGAAGGGTACATGACACCACTAAAATGGAAAATGGAAAGAAAACAACAAATATCAAGAAAAAGTTCTTTTCTACAACCAAATGTTCCCTACACTCCTGTTGTCTCCAAGGCAGCTTAACAGAGAGTTTACAACCTATAAAGTAGGTACATACAAGGGATGAGTTACACACTCTAGAAGCAAAATGTTCTCACCCACAAAGACCAGGTTGTTGTAGTTCTCCAACATCACATCAATGTACAAAGACCTCTGAGCAGAGTCCAGGCATTCCCACTCCTCCTGGGAGAAGTCCACAGTCACATCCCTGAATGTCAACATACCCTGAAATGAAAATTTACAGTTTGACCATGTGGTACCAGACAGAGTGCTTTCCTGGATATAAGGAGATTTAAGGAAATCAGAGATTTAGATGAGCAAAGACAATCACTCAAAAAGACGATTTCTAATATAGTCACATTCTACAGTGGGTTATCTAACTCTGTGAAAACAGAGTACTACAATATTCTCACAAGCAATATACATGAAACAACATACATTTAAGGTCTGGACAAGGTCATCCATCTGTTATGGAAGCTGTGTTTATATCACACAGGATCACAGCATACATGTGTCAGAAGGAAAATTCATGATGAGGAAATGTGACTTTAAATGCTGTACCTGTAGAGCATGCTAAATATGAACACTGAATCAATCCTGTCTGTACTTGGGCCTTACATGACTGCTGTGGGATGGTCTGTATGTCAAATTACTCTGATTGGTCAATAAATAAAACACTGATTGGCCAGTGGCCAGGCAGGATGTATAGGCAGGACTAACAGAGGAGAACAGAGAAAACAGGAAGGTGGAAGGAGACACTGCCAGCCGCTGTCATGACAAGCAGCATGTGAAGATGCCGGTAAGCCACAAGCCATGTGGCAAGGTATAGATTTATAGAAATGGGTTAATTTAAGCTATAAGAACAGTTAGCAAGAAGCCTGCCACAGCCATACAGTTTGTAAGCAATATAAGTCTCTGTGTTTACTTGGTTGGGTCTGAGCAGCTGTGGGACTGGCGAGTGACAGAGATTTGTCCTGACTGTGGGCAAGGCAGGAAAACTCTAGTTACACATGACTGTATTCTAACAGGCTTCACTAGAATGTTTAAACTCTAGGTCCAAGTCACACCATTACAGAGAGAAGGGGTAGATATGGAAGGCAGTATTCATGACTGACCTTATAGGCCAAGAGTTGGTTTTTTTTTCTCCACAGTAAGAAAGAGTGTAGCAACACTTCAAACTGGCTATTATAACATTAATATATAAAATCATGTAGTTTATGAATTAATTTTATAAGAATATTTGAGCTACTACCAAGCAGATGTAAAATCTGCGTCAGTCATGTTTGATATAATCTAAAATTGTCCTAACAATGTGCATAAGGCAACTTAGACAAACAACAATTTCAGAAGTTTAGAAGAAAATTTCACCACCAAAAAGCTATAAAAATTGAGGGAAGTCCAAAAACACATTAAATATTTAAGCTACAACTAAGTATATACACATAAGTGAAGTAACTTTGGTGTATTCAGGAATGACACAGATTTCCTGTGAGTAAATGAATATATTAAACTGTGTGAAGATTATACTCACTTTCAGTGCTTTGCAAATACAATATAGTACAGAAAAATGGCTTAGGATAAAATCTGAGCTATTGTGTATGAATTTGTAGTCCTCAATGTGTTCCTTTTTAGTACTTATGCTGTATTGTCTAATAGATTTTAGGTTAGTAGTATTTATGATAATTCCTTTATCTCTGGAAATGCAAAGTGGTAACATATTTTGTCTGACCCATGAGTCAGGGATAGAAATGTAAACCTGCGGGTCAGAGCCTATTCCCCAAATTTCTACTTTAAAATACTGCAGCTTCAGGGTAGGGGAGTAGAGCCATGACTCTCAGGAACTGACTAGAGGAAGGCAATCATGAGGAATGTTCTTTCTGTATTAATGTGATGACTTATGCTCATCAATCAATCAATCAATCCCTCAAGACACTTTTACTGATGCATTCCACATAATGCTACATAATGAGTCACAGAGAGAAAGGGCTGTACAGTGGGAGCCTGTTTGGAGCAAAAAGAAAAAGAGAAATAAAAAATACTGATCTCTCTACTTTGGGAAGTTACCACTGAGCTTCCTAACCAAGTGAGGATATGAGCAGCGTTCTTCTGAAAGAAACAGATATCACGTGTCAACAAACACACAGACACATCATCACTACTGTGATGTTAAACAGCAAAGAGAAATACAAGCAGACTACTGCAATCTGAATCTCCACTCAAGAGCATCGATGTCATGGTAGGATCAAGCCACATGTCCTGCTGTGTTCTGCACTCCCGGGTGTGTTTAAATCATTGGTATTAGGAACAAAATATCATTTAGTACTAAGAACCAAGAAATACATCTCTTTAGTTTTATACATTTCTAAGATGTTATAGAAACTAGTCCATGTGTTCAATGAGCATTTTTATTACCATTATTCAAGGAAATGGGACAGATCCCAGAAGCAGGGCCTGTATGGCAGATGAGCCATCACAGAATCATATATATTGATATAGTACATTCACTGTAGCAATGGGACACCAACATATGTTTGTAGTTCATGTGTCACAATAGAAATATTTTCAAAGTTATAGATCATAAGTCCATGTGGAGTATTTGCCTTCAAAAATAGAGAAAAACAGTGGTACAGTAGAATTATGAAAAGTAGTAGAAGATATGTGGAATTATGGATTGTATTGTATAGATGCAATCATAAAGACAGTCTAACATGGTCATAAAATAGACAGAAGAATAACAGAATAGGATAGAAGTCCCAGAGAAAAAAACAGAAAGCTATGCCTACTTAACATTTAATAAAGGCAGCAAAAAGAGATTATAAAAATATGGCCTTTTAAACAAATGGTGTTGGAAAAACTGGATCCAGTAGGACAATGAAATTAGATTCTTACCTTTCATCTTGTATAAAAGTCCACTAAAAAAATGGATCAGAAACCTTAATTAAACTAGAAACATAGAAACCTAGAAAACATAGGCAATATTTATGAGGATCCTGGAATGGACAAGGACCTTTGGATTAGAAAGAACACCAATAGCACAGGAAATAAGCCCAAGTACTAACAGATGGTGCTACATAAAAGTAGGAGTTTCTGTTTATCAAAGAAAACAGTCAGCAGAGCACACAGACACCCCACAGAATGGAAGAGTCTGTATCAGCAGCACTTTGGATAGGGGCTCATACCTAGAATTTACCAAGAATTACAGAAATTAAATACCAAAGAAATAGAAATACCAATCAACAAATGGGAAAATGAACTGAATAAGAACTTTTCAAAGACAGAAACACAAATGGCTGATAGATACTGCAAAAAGTGTACAAAATCACTAAAATGCCATCATGAAAATGCAAACTAAAACGACTTTGAAATACTGCCTTAAGTGAGGCAGGATAGCTGTCATCAACCAACGTGACAACAAATGTTCATTAGGATGTCATGACAAAGCATCCCTCACTAACTCTTGGTGTGTGGGTGTTTGTGAGGGTTGTGATACAAATTCATGCAGCCATTGTATAAATCAGCGTGGAGATTATTCAAAAAATTAAAGATGGAATTAATGTATAACTCAGCTATTTCAGTTCTCGGCATATACCCAGAACTCCACACCCCACTATAAATCCATTTACTGCTGCTTTATTCACCTTAGGAAAGTGTTAGAATCATTCTAATTGTTTATCAACAGATGAACGGATAATGAAAATGGTATACACATAAAATGGAATACTATTCAGCTGAAAAGAAAAATGTAATGAAAATTTGCAGGAAAATGGTTGGACTTAGACTGTGTCCAATCTAAGTGTCACAAAAGAAAGAAATCACGTTTTCCCTCATATGCAGAATCTAGCCAATACCTAGAAGATATTTATGGAAATGACATACATGTGGGCAAAGTAGAACATGGAGAAAAGAGAATAAGAAAGGTTACATAACAGGGGTTGAGGTAGGACTGAACGCAGGTAATGAACACCAGTTACGAAAAAGGATATAAAGCCGGGCAGTGGTGGCGCACGCCTTTAATCCCAGCACTCGGGAGGCAGAGCCAGGCGGATCTCTGTGAGTTCGAGGCCAGCCTGGGCTACCAAGT